CTTCCGATTGCTTTTATAAATTACTTTTATATTTTAGAGATCATTATTTGACATTGTGTATGGGATAGCTTATCCCTTTAAAGGGAAGAGAAATTCAAAACAAAGTTAGTCCAAACATTGTTGTGTTAAGAAAATATTTTCCCAAGTTAAACTGCAGAGAAAAGTCCAAACAATGGATTTTGAAACTTTCTTTCTCTTGGCACTAACACTTTCTCTTTTGTCTTGGTGATGCTTGTCATGGCAGTGGAATGAATGATGGATATGAGACATTCTGTGGAGAAAGAGGAGTTCAGCTATCAGGAGGTCAGAAACAAAGAATAGCCTTAGCTAGGGCAATACTGAAGAACCCTGCAATACTGCTTCTGGATGAGGCTACTAGTGCACTTGATAGTGTGTCAGAGATCTTGGTCCAAGAAGCACTAGAGAAGATAATGGTTGGAAGAGCATGCATAGTAGTGGCACACAGGCTATCTACAATACAAAAATCCAACTCCATTGCTGTGATTAAGAATGGGAAGGTTGTAGAACAAGGTTCACATAACGAATTGATTTCACTTGGAAGTGAGGGTGCATACTATTCTCTTGTTAAACTTCAAGGTGGTAGCTCCCCTAGGTAAACTTAATTAGTAGTTGTAATATATGGTAGTTTTTTTGGTTTTTCCTCTTTTTCTCTTTTGCTTTTCTGAGACAATAATGTACGTGTCATCCTAGAATTGGGGGTTGCCCTTCATGAAATTTAGCATATTGCACGTTTGCATGCTTGAATATGATGTGAAAAGAAAAGTTAGAACTTCTTTTCTTGAAAAAATTAATGGTCTCATTTCAAGGTAGTAAACTTTTGCTCTCCCCCCCCAAATTTGCAGTGTTCCCTTAGTAGTGCTAGTTATGTCATATATCATATAATTTTATTTAAGTACAGTAAAGAATAGTATATATAAAGAAATTCAGGAAAAAGAAAACGTTAGGGATGGGATGCCATATAAATTTAAACAAAATCATGCATACCAGTCTATCTATTTATAATATGTTAAAACTGAGGTCGAATCAGGCATTGCACTACAAGAAAAACGAAAATTAGCATCAAATTTTGCCGAAGCTAATAAGCAAAAGCCAACGATTATATTAGTGGCAAAGTGATGACATGATGCCATAAATACAAAAGTTTTTGCAAATGAGTTTGCATTGACGGAGGTCATTGCATATTAGTGTCAATCAAGCCAACGCTGATTAATAAGGAACACAAAAAAAAATGTGAGAATAGCAATATGTCTTCATCCATGTTGAACTAAATCAACATTGGTGAACAGAAGTGATAGCGGCTTATGTTCCTTAACCAAGATGTCCAGAGTTCAAATCTTGGTATTTAGTATGAAATAAATTATGTTGAGAGAGAAATACTGTTGGAATTATTTTTATGGTATTTGTCTGAGAGGATATTTTATGAGGGTTGTTATATAAGGTTATTACACAAACATACTCCACAATGATGAGATATTGTCCCCTTTGAGCTTAAGGGACTCACGGTTTTGCTTTTGGTCATCACCTAAAAGGTCTCTCTATCATTGAAGTATGTTTATGCTATATAAGTTGTTATTTCTTATCTTATTTTATCGATGTGGGACTTGTTTGTATCCCAACAAATACCTACTTTGTGTATGCTCACGATTTCTGGTTGAGATTAGTCACTATTTTTAACGATGAATACTTCGCATCAATACCATCTAAAAAAAAATCCATGTTGAACTAAAATATAACTATACATACACAACCTAAATTGATTAAAGACCTAACCAACTAACATATAACTAACTAACTAGTCATAGAAAGTGGTATAATCAGAAGCTGTAACAGCTCGTCCATATAGTATCATAGCTAGCTTTAAAGGTTAAATTAAGTGCAAATCTAAATATTAAGATGAAATCAAAACTTATTTTAGTAGTTGTTTTTAGGCTTATCTTATAATTAAGGTTATTATTAAACTACCTGCAAAAGTTGAGTCTTGCAAACTTTATGCCTAATTTGTTCAGTCAGTTCATAATGTAGGGGATGTGTTAGAGATCACAGATTGACTAATAATATAGCCAAAATAGTGTGTATAATTAAGTGGAGAATCCTCACCCCATAACTTTTGAAGTTTAGTTAGGTCAAAACCCAAATTTTTAGAATTAAATTTGTTCAAGTTAATTAGGAAGATGTGGATTCGAAATGTAAATTTTCATATTGCTTGATTCAATGATCTTTCCACACTGATCACTCGTATAATTTTTGTCTCATAATTAAGGAATGAATGCTATTTATCTCGATCTCCCATTAGTTGACTTCACAATAATAATAATAAAACTTTTTTGGAAAAAGTGGTTTTGGACATATCGGGTTTCTAGGAAAAAGAACTCAAAGTTAGGTGAAAAGCACCCATAAGACATGTAAACCTCTAGAATTTTACGAAACTGATCTCTTAGAGTTAATACACTATGGTTTAGGTGATTCAAAATCTACAATGACTAGAGGAGATAAAGAATTTTATGTAACATATAGAGTATTATTAAAGATACTCGCATGAATATTTTCTAAGAACAAAAGATGAACCAGAACAGAAGATAAATTAAATATTATAAACTGAAGTTGAGAACAAACCAAACAAGAAAATTAGAAGACTATGAACAAATAGCGGCGTAGTGATCTTAGGGGGCGTTTGGTAGGGAATTTTTTTTCATATTTGGTACTTTCTTCTAGTCATATATAAGATACAATTATATTTAAGAAAACTAATAAATTTACATTTTAACTTTCGGAAATATGATTACCCAATTTAAAAAATATTAAATTGTGGGGGGCTCTGTTTGCTAAAGTTTCATTACTTAAATCTAAGAAAAGAAAATTGGCTCTAAAACTTGTGATTGCATTTATATTGGCTTTGTTGAAAATAGTTTTAAGCCAGTGTTGAAAAGTGGTTTTAGAAAGCAATACTATTACAAAATTACTAGATTAAAAAATACGTTGAATTCTTTGAAAACGTGTTTCCACCAAAATCTTCAGTAAAAGGAAATCAATGACTGAACATTCATGTGAACCTGCAGCTTATTCTAAGAATTTTTCAACTTAATCCTAGAAGAGTTGACTTTTCGTTACTTTCTATGAAATTGGTTCTTAATCAGAAGGGCCAGCAGGAGGCACAACACTCCAATATGCATAAGCTAAAGTTGACTTTGAAACCTAACACCCAAAGCAATACTTAGCTTTAAAATATTTGGTATACTTTCAACGAAATTGATTCCTAAACTGCAGGGCTGCCAGGAAAGCTCTAACATGCATGAGCAAGAGTTGACTTTTGAGGCCAATGACCGCTTTAATGTGATCTCCATCAATCATTGTGGCCAAAGAAAAGAAAAGCCAAGGCTTAATTTGATGAAATGTAGGCTTAATTTGAAAGCTTGCTAATCCAGAAGAAGCTGGTATTGTATTTGTCATATGACATCCTTCTCCAACTTTTGATTTTTCCATTTCCTTTCTAACTTAAACTTTGGATGTGTTTGGATAAACTTTTTGATAAACACTTCTAGAAGAGAAAAATAGGAAGGAAAATGAAAATAAGCTTCTCCATAAGTTAAAAATAACTTATGCATAAGTAGAAAATAAGATTTTAGAGAAGCTAACAAGCAAGAGCTTCTACAAATCAGCATATGCATAAGCTAAATTTAGCTTATGAAAAAGCTTATTTCATTTTTCCTTTCTATTTTTCTCTCCTAAAAGTCTTTTTGGAGAAGTTTACTCAAACAAATTCTTATTATAAATATCAAGTTTGTGTTAGAAACTCTTCAATTTTTCCATTTCATTTCTTACTTTCTTTTTTCTTTCCAGTTACCTTATGGTTCATACATATTCAGTAAGTGCAGATACAAAGAAAGATCAGTGTGCATTTGTTCCAATCCAACACCATACAGAAATTGAACATGTCATATTTCTTCATCTCTTGTTCATTTCTTTGTGTGTTGTTTTTGTTTGTCTCTTGGTTATTTCCAAAACTGAAGGGTGTAGAGGAACAACCAAAGTCAGACAACAGCACTCCTCAAGTAAAGTATGATGTTTTTGTTAGCTTCAGGGGCGAGGATATCCGCCATGGTTTTCTTAGCCATTTGATTGACACTTTTCAAAGGAAGAAAATAAATGCCTTTGTGGATGATAAACTTGAGAGGGGAGATGAAATATGGCCATCACTTGTTCGAGCAATTGAAGGATCATTCATTTCATTGATCATATTCTCACAAGACTATGCTTCTTCGCATTGGTGTTTAGAAGAACTTGTGACTATACTTGAATGCAGAGAGAAACATGGCCAGATTGTAATTCCTGTTTTCTACCATGTAGAACCCACACATGTAAGACACCAATTGGGGAGTTACAAAAATGCATTTGCTGAGCATGGAAGAAAATATAAGACCAAAGTGCAAAGCTGGAGGCATGCTTTGAATAAATCTGCTGATTTATCAGGAATTGAGTCATCTAAATTTCAGTAAGCTCTTTTTTCCCTCAGAAAATCAATATTTTCTTGCTGTTATATAGTTACATGAATATTATCACAATGTGACTGCTTAAATTGCAAATAAATGTGACCTTTGTTTTTTAAATTGTTTCAGCAGAATATATGTTTACTAGTTATTGCTATCGCTGTTGGGAAATGCCATCATAATTTCCCTCCTCTGTGAACTCATAATAAGCATTATCCGGAAACAGAGAATAATAATACTGAATATTTTTAGCATAGAAAACCTCCTCAATGTGAGTAAGAAAAAAATCACAGGACTCGTAGGCCTCTTAAACTTCCACTATAACAATAATGGGAATACAAAATACTACAACAATGTATCTTCAATTCGTGGATATCACTCACAAATTGGCTCACTAATATTTCTCTCTCAAAGAAACTCTTTAAGAGGCTCTCTGTGTTTTTTCTCACTCTCTTTCTCTCCAAGTTAGGATGTGCTTATTCACTTTGATTGATGCTTGATCCATGGCTTCTCTTCCTCTATTTACAGGAGAGGTTTGCACTTGGTGCAATTAATGCACCGAATGGTGCAGTTGGAGTTTGAATATTTTTACACCTCCCTTTTTCATTATTTTCCATTCATGTACGTGCTTCTTTCTTATTATCACATTGGCCTGTAATTTTCATGTACAAATTCTTGCATTCACATTTGCATTGGGTGGTAAATTTCCAACCCATTGAATTTGTTTGGCTGGATCCCGCATTCGCATAAATGATTTTTGTCATTGCTGCTATGCTAGAATTCTGATGGGACCATGTGCTTTGTTGATCCATTGATTTTAACGGTTATATTACAAAAATTCTAAATCATAATCTTTATAAAAAAATTGAGATACATCTCACAACACCCCTTTATTTATTTTTTAGTACTCGACCTCTTAAGGAATCCCCACTAAGAAGAAAGGAAACAATGAAGAGAATTTTCCATCATGATGTTGAACCCCTTCCCCTCTCAAAACAAACAAATAAGTGATTAATATTAACGAGATTTTTAACACTCTCTCTCTTTGTGTGTTGCATAGAAATGATGCAGAGTTGCTTAAAGCAATTGTTGATCTTGTGCTGCTAAGGTTGGGTAAACATGTGGTTAACTTAAAAGGACTTGTTGGAATTGATACAAAAGTTGCAGATGTAGAATCATTGATATGCAAACCCAAAGAGCCAAAAGACATCCGTCTTATAGGAATTTGGGGTATGGGCGGTATTGGCAAGACAACCCTTGCAGAAGAATTATTTAACAAACTACGGTTTGATTGTGAATATGATGGTTGTTATTTTTTAGCCAATGAAAGAGAACAATCAAGCAAACATGACATAATTTTTTTGAAAGAAAGGATATTTTCCGAGCTATTAGGAAATGCTGTGAAAATTGACACACCAAATTCATTGCCCAATGATGTTGTATGGAGAATTGGTCGTATGAAGGTTTTAATTGTTCTTGATGATGTGAATGAATCAGATCACTTGGAAAAATTGCTTGGAACTCTTGACAATTTTGGATCAGGTAGTAGAATAATTGTAACAACTAGAGATGAGCAAGTGCTTAATGCTAACAAAGCTGATGACATATACCAACTTAGAGAATTCAGTTTCAATAAAGCACTTGAACTTTTCAATTTGAATGCATTTAACCAAAGTGATCATCAAAGGGAGTATGATGATCTATCAAAAAGGGTGGTTGATTATGCCAATGGCATTCCATTAGTGCTTAAAGTTTTGGCTCATCTTCTTCGAGGAAAAAATAGGGAAGTATGGGAAAGTGAGCTAGACAAGCTTAAGAAAATGCCTCTTACAAAAGTTTATGATGTAATGAAACTAAGTTATGATGATTTAGATCGCAAAGAGCAACAAATTTTTCTAGATCTTGCATGTTTCTTTCTTAGATCGGGTATACAAGTAGATGTGGGTTATCTAAAATCTTTATTAAAAGATGGTGAAAGTGATAATTCAGTGGTTGCTGGCTTAGAAAAATTGAAAGATAAAGCTCTTATTACTTTCTCGGAAGATAACTTTGTAGATATGCATGATAGTTTACAAGAAATGGCTTGTGAGATTGTTCGTCGAGAGTCTATCGAAGTCCCTAGAAGTCGTAGTCGATTGTGGGATCCTGATGACATTTATGAAGCATTGAAAAATGACAAGGTTAAAGCCTATCTAAATAAAAATCTTTTGAATAACATTTTATTTTATTTTTCTTTTGAGAAATGTGGCTTTTGGTGTTAATATTTTTTCTTCAACATTGATTGTAGGGAACTGAGGCCATTAGAAGCATACAAATTCAGTTGCCAACCATTGAGGAGCAGAAGTTAAGCCCTCACATATTTGCTAAGATGAGCAGACTACGATTTTTGGAGATTTATGTGGAATATAATCACGATTGCTTCAATGAACATAATATTCTTGCTGAAGGGCTTCAATATTTGGCAGCTGAACTAAGACTTCTTTATTGGTGGTGTTACCCTCTAAAATCCTTGCCAGATAATTTTTCTATTGAAAAACTAGTTATATTAAGATTGAGAAATGGCAAAATTGAAAAACTTTGGGATGGAGTGAAGGTAAATATGTGTTTCATCGTTATACTTTTCTCTTAATTCAACAAATATGAAATTAACTCATATGCTTGCGTGATATAATCATTTTATTACAGAATTTGGTGAATTTAGAAGAACTTGACCTCAGTGACTCCGAGATGTTAAGAGAGTTGCCAGATTTATCAAAAGCCACAAATCTTGAAGCATTGATTCTCAGCCGTTGTTCTATGTTGACTAGCGTTCATCCATCTGTTTTCTCTCTAAGAAAACTTGAGACCTTGGACCTTCAGGACTGCATGTCCCTTGCCATTCTCACAAGTGATTCTACTTTATGCAACCTTAGTTATCTGGACCTTGGTTTTTGTAACAATCTTACTCAATTTTCACTAATATCAGAGAATATGAAAGGTCTAAGAGTACAAGATACGAAGGTCAAAGAATTTCCCTCATCATTTGGACTTCAAACCAAGCTTGAATGGTTAATTCTAGCAGGAAATGACATTGAGAGGTTACCTTCATCCATCAAGAATCTTACACATCTTGAAATTCTAAATGTCAACTTTTGTAGTTCACTTCAGAGTCTACCAGAGCTTCCCCAATTCCTCAAAGCTCTATGTGCCAACAACTGCAAATCACTTCAGACTTTACCAGAGCTTCCACAATTCCTTGAAACTCTAGATGCCAAATATTGCTCTCAACTTCAGACTCTACCAGAACTTCCCCCATTCCTTAAATCTCTTAATGCACAATCCTGCTCTTTACTTCAAACTCTACCAGAACTTCCCCCATTTCTTAAAGATCTAAATGTTGGAACATGCAAATCACTTCAAAATTTACCAGAGCTTCCCCCATTCCTTGAAACTTTAAATGCCAATTTTTGCACTTCACTTCAAACTTTACCAGAGCTTCCCTTGTTCCTTAAAACTCTAAATGTTGATTATTGCACATCACTTCAAATTCTACCAAAGCTTCCATCATTCTTTAAAACTCTACTTGTTGATCACTGCACTTCACTTCAAATTCTACCCGAGCTACCTTTGTCTCTTGCAACTCTAACTGCCCAATTTTGCACTTCACTTCAAAATCTACCAAAGCTTCCCCCTTCCCTTGAATATCTAAATACCCAATCATGCACTTCACTTCAAACTCTACCAGAACTTCCTCGATCTCTTAAAACTCTGAACTTCACACAGTGCAAATCATTTCTGACTCTACCAAAGCTTCCTCCGTCTCTTCAAACTCTAAATGCTCAATCATGCACTTCACTTCAAACTCTACCAGAACTTCCATCACCCCTTAAAACTCTTAATGCACAATACTGCACTTCACTTCAGACTCTTCCAGAACTTCCTTCATCTCTTCAAACTCTAAATGCCCAATCATGCACTTCACTTCAAACTCTACCAGATCTTCCCTCATCCCTTAAAACTCTTAATGTGCAATCATGCACTTCGCTTCAAAATCTACCAAAGCTTCCCCTTTCTCTTGAAACTCTAGATGTTAATTGTTGCACTTCACTTCAGACTTTACCAGAGCTTTCCAAGTTCCTTAAGACTCTAAATGCCCAAGAGTGCAAATCACTTAAGACTCTACCAGAGCTTCCCCAACCCCTTGAAACTTTAGATGTTAAACGTTGCACTTCTCTTCAGAATCTAACAATGCTCCCTTCATTTGTTAAGACTTTAAATGTCCAAGAGTGTGAATCACTTCAGACTCTACCAAACCTTCCATCATCTCTTAAAACTCTAGATGCTAAATGTTGCACTTCACTTCAGGCTTTACCAAAGCTTCCTCCCTCCCTTGAAACTCTTGATGTTAAATGTTGCACTTCACTTAAGACTCTACCAGAGCTTCCCCAATCCCTTAAGACTCTTAATGTTGAAGAGTGCGAAACACTTGAGAATCTGCCAGAGCTTCCTTTGTCTATTGAAACTATAAATGCCAAATCTTGTATTTCACTTCAGACTCTATGGGAGCTTCCCATGTTCCTTAAGACTCTAAATGTCCAAGAGTGCAAATCACTTCAAACTCTACCAGAGCTTCCCCTATTCCTTGAAACTCTTAATGTTATGTATTGCAATTCACTTCAGACTCTACCAGAGCTTCCCCCGTTCCTTAAAACTTTAAATGCCAAATTATGTGAATCACTTCAAACTCTACCAAAGCTTCCCCATTTCCTTGAAACTTTGGATATCGAATTCTGCACATCACTTCAAACTCTACCAGAGTTCCCCCCGTTCCTTAAAATTGTGTATGCCAGAGATTGCGGATCACTGAAGACTGTATTGTGTTCCCCTTCAACAACTGTTCAAGAATTAAAGGAAACTTGGAAACATGTTATTCTATGGAATTGCTTGAATGTTGGTGAATATTCTCTAGTGGCTATTGGATTGAATGCGCAAATCAACATGATGAAATTTGCAAACCAACACCTATCTAGTGCCAATCTCATTGATGTTAAAAATTATGATGATTATTGTAATCATCGTTCCTATCAAGCTGTTTATGCATACCCGGGAAGTAGTGTTCCGGAGTGGTTGGAGTATAAGACAACAAAAGATTATATAATTGTTGATCTCTCTTCTATTGCACCATCTTCCTCCTCCTTGGGCTTCATTTTCTGCTTTGTCCTTGGTAAGTACTATGATGAAACATTCATTGACAGACTTGACGTCAACATCACTATAAGTGATGGTGAGGGTGAAGGTGAAAAGGACAGTGTCAGAATGTACATAGATTATTGGGGTATGGGAATTGAATTGGATCATGTGTGTATTATGTACGACCAAAGGTGTTCTGGATTCCTAAATACTAGAGCCAAAAACCAGACAAGGTTTAAAATTGAGGTTACATTGTGGGCAAAATTTCTCTACCCGGAAACTTATGATGATGCACTGCCGCAACAGGTTTTAAAGGGATTTGGTGTCAGCCCAATAAGCACCTCGACATATAACAGTTTCATTCAACAAATGGAATTGAATTGTGGTTCATATCATCCCAGGTATTTTCTTCATGTGGTTTACGACAAAATCTTTGATTTAGAACTTAGAACAATGTGTAAAATTATTGTGTTATAACTTATTTATTTACAACATTTAAGTTAATAATGTGAGTTCATATATTATTTACAGTTATCATATTCATATGGACTTACTAAGTTCTAAAATGAACAACTGCAAGTAATGATTACTCAAACGATAGTAGTATGCAAGGGTGCTCAAAACTACCAAGGAAAATACTAGTTTGCTCGTATTGTATTTGTAATATGACCCTATGCCAAGTTGTTGTGGCACTTTCCCTTGGCTCTGTCATTCTTTTGAATATATACATTACCTTATATTGTTAATGTGTCTCGATGTCACAAATTCTTATAAGTTGTAAAAATTTCTGGGGGAGAGAAGTGTTCCCCTACTTTGACTTCCTCAACCCTACGCACAAAAGAAAAGAAAAAATAATCATTGGTTTCATTAACTAATGTCAAGATACTACTGAGAGATTATTTACTTCCTTTTGAACTTTGATTAAGAGTACTATATGTCTCTCTTTTTTACGCATTCATAAATGTTATCATAAAAATATGATGATAGATGGGGATTATATATGTAAAGGAATTCGACATATATAACTTTTTGCACATGTTGTCTACTTTTTTTTAGGTTTTATTCTTATATTAGATATTAGATATTAGATATTCTAATCACAAGCACAATTCACTTGAAAACATTCACTAATATGATTTGGCAAGAAATTTGATCACTTTATTTTTTTTAAGTCGCCAATTCTCCTTTCTTGCTAGTAAAGGAGTGAATGGGTTGCATAATATAATTTTTGTATGTAAAAGTAAATTTCATTTATGAAGATGTTGATTTATTTGTTCATCTTATCATTTCATTACTTTTATGCTTTATTTGGATTAGGAGTGAAATAGAGGAGAAAGAAATAGGAAAGACAGATTATGTGATGGAGTGTGGTATAAAGATTTAGCATAAGATATATTGGAAGCATTCAAAATCATCTATTCAACAGTTCCCATTTACTTCTTATCAGACAAAAATGTCCTTTGCAGGGTAATCAAAAGGCATGATGTATACGAGCTTTAACACATGAAGGTTGTGCACCAACTTTTTGTTGTCAGTGTCCAGAGCCCTTCCAGGGGATTGATAAAGTGAACAACAAATTTAGAATATTGTTTTGTTTTCTGAAGAGTACATTGCCAAATTCTAGCAGGTAATTGTGCAGTAAAGGATAATGGGCAATAAATTGTAGTAGTTGAGTTGAGTGGGAGGAAATAATTCTATTTGATGGGTAGCTTGCAGCCACAACATCAAATTTTTGAAACTTGATTCTTTTGAAAGTATGTATATGAAACTTGTATATAATATTTCTTAGTATATTGTTTAAGACTTTAAATAGTAACAGTTGCACATGGAGTTTTGTCCCTTGATGTATCTGTTACAACTAAATATTCATATTAAATGCATGTGTTTTCCTTCTTTAAGATGAGTCTTAGATGGAGGATGGTGTTATTGTAATAAAAATCCCAAAATCATGGATGACCGAAAACTGTTAATTTTTTTTTCTTCATAAACATGGTTCACGCAATGTTCCAAAACTAATAATTAATGACTAATTTATACTTGCAACATATGGTTTCTATTTGTTGGGGTTATTTTATGGTATTTGTTTGAGGGAATATTTTATAAGAGTTATTTTTATAAGGTTATTACACAAACATACTAGATATTGTCCGCTTATTTTATGGTATTTGTTTGAGGGGATATTTTATAAGAGTTATTTTTATAAGGTTATTACACAAACATACTAGATATTGTCCGCTTTGAGCCTTAGCCCTCACGGTTTTGCTTTTGGTTATTACTCAAAAGGCCTCTCAATCATTGAAGTATGTTTGTATTATATAAGTTATTATTTTTTGTCTTATTTTATCGATGTGGGACTTGTTTGTATTCCAACACTATTGACCAAACATTAATTTAATACTTGATAGGCCCACCACCCATGTCTTAGAGCGAGAAATTATTAGATGGTTGTGGATCACAATTATAACTTGCTGACAAATAATTTTATCTTTTTAACTGTAAATAGTTTCTGAAATGCAGGCCCTAGCCTTGACACTAGAATCTTCTATGGGATGAAGTATGAAGATTATTTTGGGGGTGTTTGAATTTTGCTAATTTAGCCAACTCTGGTTTTGTTTTAGTTTTATAATACCAGCTTCAGCTATGTGTATAATAAAAGCTTTCTCCTTATTCTACATATTCTTAGTCATTGGTTCTCAATAATTAATCTAGATGTCCTTTGTTGAGATCCTACATCGATTATAGATTTGGAATAGTAAAGCTTATAAAGGCTTGGTCCTGTAGTTTTCCAATGCATTATAAAATAAGTCTTTTTGACAATTCTCCATGCTTTAGATGTCAATTCCTGAGCATGAGGCGCATGTGTTGAGATACCATATTGACTACAAATATGGCCAAAGTAGAACTTATAAAGGCTTGGACAATTCTCACCTTAAGCTAATTTTTAAGATTGAGCTAGGTCCAGTCCAAATTCATGACCTTTCAAGTTCTTCTTGACAACATATTGCTACAAATATTCATAAAAAGCAATTTTTATATGCCTAAATTAAAAATAAAAATAGAAATATCTGCTTGTACAGGGTAGACACATATAATCTAATTTTACTTAAGTAAAAAAAGCCAAAATTAGTTATTTTCTTTATTATATGTAAATATGCATGCTTTTCTACGCTTCTCCTTTTGGAGTGACCTTGTGATGGACAGAACATCTTGTAAATCACCTGTTTCTTCAATATTGGTATAGAGCATAAGTTGTGTTTCGTATTGCAAGTACTTTTAGATCCAGACATACCAAACAAGAGCTTAAATGAAATCAAGAGTGTACTTGTCTCAACTCTTGCATCACATGGGCAATTGTCCGAGGCTCTTCTTGTATATGAGGAGATTAAGAAAGCTGGATATAATTTGGAGCCAAAAGCTGTTATAAGTCTTATTGTAAGGTTTTGTATTAGTGGTTTGTATATCAATCATCTACCTTCAACTTTATAATTAGTTACTCGACATTCTTAGGAGGAGTTCACTCAATTCAATGGGGAATTGGATGGGCTACTGCTTCTACTTAAGGAAGTGAGTGATCTAGACTATTGGGTTGATGGTTGCTTCAAGGTTATCATGTATTGTATACGGATCAAGAATTTGAGGTTTGATGTTTTACCCCTCCCATATCAAATTTGTTTGTATTCTGCAAGTTGCTTATCTTGATACTTGAATTTTTGGGTCAGTTCTGCTATTCTCTTGTGCAAGCAACTCAAGGATAAGTTTGAAAATGATGAAATAGTAATGGAATCTCTTATGATGCGGTGAGTTCTCGTTCTGTCCTACTTTAATTTTAGACATGTTTTGCCCTTTTCATCACAACTGACAAGTGTTTTTGTGTCTGTGCAGGTATTTTCTCTAATTGCAGCATCTGAGTCCACTCATTTACAGATTGGCCTAGACTTGCTTTTCTTCACGACAGTGTCTTGATTTTCTTCTAAGTTCTTGTGCGAATGCCGGAGATTTGAATAATGCTCGCTTGATTTGGAGAGAATACGAGATTGCTGGATTTCCTTACAATGTAAAATGTTACTTGAGGTAAGTTGTAAGCCTCTCCCTGCTTTTCCCTAACCTTGTATGAGTTTTTATTCAGTATCTATCTCTGTCGAATTTGGATCCTCTCCTGCAATATTCTCTCTCCAGCCTCTTTCCAACAACATTAATAACTGTTCTTACCGAAAATATGCTGTAGAGCTGATCCGCCGGGTAAGATCGGTGAGCCTCCTAAAAAACAAGCAGTTGTATTTCAGTTTTTTTTTAATAGTTTGTTCATGTAGCAATTCATTATGTAATATTTTAAACTTAACATTAATTATAAACATCATATTAAAAAATATAAAATATAAAAATATGCTATAAATTTTAAATATTTTAAAATTATTACAATTTAAAAATCTAATTCACATTCATTGTAAAAATATAAAAAATCATTGTAAAAACTAAAATTAAATAACTTAGTTAAAAAAAGACTATAGTTAATAATTTAATGTAGAATTTATTTATAAAAAAAAATTGTTGAAAAAACTGAAAAGAAATAATAAAATAAAATCCGTTGAAATCGCAAATCTAACTACAAATATAAAAAAAAATCTAGAAACAAATAATATGACGAAACAAAAACCTTCGAAATAATATCACAAAACAAAAAATTTTGAAACCGCAATTGAACCTTTTTGTTGTTTTGGACATGTCTCCATGGTGCAAAACTTTTATAAGTCGCACAATCACATGTTATTTAAAGAAAGAAGAAAATGAAGGAAAAAAAAAAACCAAACAGTATGGGCCGGATGTCGTCTTTTAAATTTATTACACAGTTTTAAATCTGTATGTCATCAAAACTAATTTGATTCATTAAAAAAATAAATTGAGGCAGAATAATCTACGTATATGATAAACACTCAGTGTTGAAATAGGATGAAAATTTTTTGTCTCCAACTCCTATCTCCAAACCTTGTCCCTCCAATCATAAATTGCCACGTTATTGTATTTAATTTTTATTTTTGTTAAGTACATCTCAGCCATCTTCAAAGCCACGTACCCACCATAACTGAAGGCGTTCAATGAGGCGCTGCAGCTCCCCGCTCTCGTGGAGTTGCCGGACCTTGTCGGCATGAAGTCGCGCGGCAGTGCAACGCTGCAGCGGCCGAGGATCCCGAGGAGCTCGTCGCGGAAGCGGTCGTCGATGGAGATGTCGCGCTCGTTGACGGTGACGCGGAGGCCGCGGAGGATGGATCGGACGGCGCGACAGTCGTCGAAGGTGCAGGGAACGATGCAGAGGGAGGTGAAGTAGACGATGACGCCTTGGTCGAGGCCAGGCGGCAATGTGGCGGGGGAGGCGGCGCGTGAGGCGCCGAGGGCACGGAGGACGGCGGTGGAGATCCGGACGCGGCGGAAGAGCGACGGGGGTTTGGGGGCG